CAACGGCGACGACCTCAACCACCTCTTCAAGTACGACGCGGCGGCCAAGACGCTCCAGGCCATGAGCAACGGCCAGTGCTTTGACGCGTACGCCACCGGCAGTGGCTACGCTCTGCACACGTTTACGTGCAACGGCAACAACGGCAACCAAAAGTGGATCATCGACGCGGCCAACCGCAAGATCAAGCACGCGACGCACCCCAACTTGTGTTTGGACGTGGACCCGACAAATGCGAGCCGCCGCGCGCAGGTGTGGACGTGCTATGCCAACAGCGACAACCAGCACATCACGGTCGTGCCGTACTAAACGACCACATTTGGACTGCGTGGTAGTAGCTAGCTATATAGACTTGCAATAGTGCACGACACCTGTGCAATAACTAAATGGCACTCTACCGACTTAACGTTTGTTTCCACAAGGGTACTCTTGGTATCCAGTGCCACTGCAACTTGGTACCGCAGACCACGTGCGCGCATGCGCCTTGTTACGAGCAAAAATATATGCCAAGACATGTTGGGTGGCCATCTGGACAGGCTTGATCGCAGACATCAATTGTGGAGTGTACATGGGTGCCTAGTCCAGCAGTAGCGCCTGCCGAAGTCTTTTTAAGGGTCAAGACGCCCGCCACCTGCCCGAGACAGGACGAATGACATAAGTGTCTCCGAGTGGGCTCGCGGTCGCCGGTGGCTCGAGGTCACTCTGCAATTTCCGGTCGCATGCGCGCTCGACTATTTCTTCTTGCTGGTCTCGCCGTTGCGTCGGCGACGCCGATTCGCCCGAGTGCGTGCTACTCACCTTTCCACCTCGACGCGTACCCGCTCCAGCCGTGGGAAGCCTTGGACGCACCAGCGCTCGCCGCCGGCATTGGCGAGGACTTTGCCCAGATGAAGCCGTACGTGCACACGGTCCGCACGTACTACTCCAAGTACCACTCGGTGGACGTGACGCCGATTGCCGCCGCCAGCGGCGTCCCTTTGTACCTTGGCGTCTACATGGTCCACGAGCCGTGGTACTGGCTCCAGGTGGCCGCTGCCATCGACGGCGCCGTGGCTTACCCCGAGACCGTTCGCGCCGTCTTGGTCGGCAACGAAAACGTGGCTCCGTACGGTGACTTTGAGGCCGCGTACATTGCCAACCAGGTGCAGCACATCAAGTCTGAGGTCGCCAACCGCACCAACGGCTCGATCACCGTACCCGTCGGCACCGTCCAGCGCATCACCGAGTGGCTCAACCCTGCGATCCGCACGGAGATGCTTGCACTCGCCGACGCTTGCGACGTCATCGGCGTCAACATCTACCCGTTCTTTGACAACAGCTACGACGCACTTGACCCGACGGCGCTCGTGACGGCACTCTGGGACCAAATGCTAGCGATATATCCCGCGCACAAGCTGCGCCTAACGGAGACCGGCTACTCGACCGGCGGCCCGTCGTCGAGTGTGGCGCCCCTCGTCGTCCCGAGCCTGGACAACGCGATCAAGTACTACAACGCGCTCATGCAGTGGACGCCGTCTCGGGGCGGTGGCGACATCTTTTGGTACTCCTTCTACGACTTGCGCGACGACGACACGACGCAGCCGGAACCGCTCGAGAAGCACTTTGGCTACTTCAACGCCAACGGCACCGCTAAAGCCGCGAACTTTCCGAAGCCCGTGTTCCCGCACTTGGTCCCTACCACGCCACGCAAGTACACAACAACTCGAAAGCCAACAACGCGGCCACTCCTGCCCACGAAAACCCCTGCAACGCGTTCTCTAGCTCCGATAGCGCCGACACAGACGCCCACGCCGACACCGACGCCCACTACGACACCAACGCCCGCTCCGACGCTGACGACGGCAACACCCATCACGCTCTGCACGTTCAAGAAGACCATCCTCTCCGAGTGGAACGGCGGCCTCTACGTCAACAAGATCAACAACAACAACAACGAAAAGTTCCTCCTCCGCACCAACGCCGGCATCCAGTCCGTCAGCAGTGGCAACGGCTGCCTCACCTACAACGCTGCCACCAACGGCGTCTCAGTCTCCGCGTGCTCTGGTGCCGCGACCCAGGCGTGGAAGTTTGACGCTGCCGCCAAGCGAGTGGTCTACGGCAACCTCTGTCTCCAGTCGTCGCCGTCGTCGCCGGGCGCCTCGCCCAATGTCGCACCGTGCTCGTCGGGTGCTGTCTCGCAGTACTTTGATGACTGCGCCAGCGTGCCGTCGACGACCAGCTACGTGCAGCTCGTGACCAAGCGCAACGCGTTCGTGTACGAGTTTTACAACAACGTCTACGCAGGTGCCAACGGCGACGACCTCAACCACCTCTTCAAGTACGACGCGGCGGCCAAGACGCTCCAGGCCATGAGCAACGGCCAGTGCTTTGACGCGTACGCCACCGGCAGTGGCTACGCTCTGCACACGTTTACGTGCAACGGCAACAACGGCAACCAAAAGTGGATCATCGACGCGGCCAACCGCAAGATCAAGCACGCGACGCACCCCAATTTGTGTTTGGACGTGGACCCGACAAATGCGAGCCGCCGCGCGCAGGTGTGGACGTGCTATGCCAACAGCGACAACCAGCACATCACGGTCGTGCCGTACTAAACGACCACATGTAGAGTGCGTGGTAGTATTATAGCACTTGGCGATATAGACTTGCAATACGACGAGTATACCCTTGACAACTCTGAGTCGATGGCCGATGCCAGAAGCATCGGTCCAGATTTGCGTAGGTTTCATTCTCCGAACCAACATGTCGCTCGTTGGCAACCAAGAGTCATCCAGATTTCGATGAGATGGCGCCCTTGCACGCTGCGGTAACGACGGCGTCGATGCCATCTTAAAAGAAAACAAGGACACTGGTGGAGTATGGAGCTGCAGCGCCAGATTTGATCAAAGGAACGCGATCTTGTGCAGAGCTTTTCTCCGACTTCAACGGCTCGAGAAAGGTGCCGGCGCGTTCGGCCCAGGAGACGCACTCGATGTCCGTTGCCGCCATCAGTCGTCCATTCTGCAATTTGCCTTGCGATGCGCAAACAGCTCTGTCTCGCGCTGTGCGCAGTCGTCGCCGTCGCCCAGACGACGGTGCCCGGCGTCGTCTACTTTCCCGACCACCGACCGGGCTACCCGCTCTCGACGCGCGACCGCGTCAACGCCACGGCCATTGCCATTGGCATCGACGCCGACCTTGCGACCCTCGCACCGCACTACCAGCTGCTGCGGACGTACCGGCCGTCGTTCCACGGCGTCGCGATCGCACCGATCGCCGCGCGCCACAACTTGCACGTGTACCTCGGCCTCGACGTCGGTGCCATCGACTATGCAACGCAGGTCGACGCGGTGATTACTGCGCTGCAGACGCACCCGAGCACGGTTGACGCAATCATCGTCGGCAGCGACAGCCTCCGAGTGGTGTCCACGGACGACCTCGTCGGCCGCATCGAGGCACTTCGGAGCCGCGTTCAGTCCGAGACGAGCGCGTCGCACGTCAAGCTTGGCACGGCGCAGCACCTCGAGGACTGGCTCGACCCACTGCTTGCGTCCAACATGTCGGCTGTGGAAGCCGCCGTCGACATCGTCGGGGTCAACTACTTTCCCGGTCGCGACGCGAGTTTCGACATTGGCGACCCCGTCGCGCTCATCAACGGCCACTGGCCGCTCCTCCAAGCTCTGTACCCGAGCACGAAGCTCACGATCACCGAGACGGGGTATCCGACGGCGTCGCTTGCCGACGCGACCACGTACTTCAACGCGTTCAAACTCTCGGCGTATTCGGCGCTGGGCTTTTACTATGCGTTTTTCGACCGCCAACCGCGCGATCCGAGCGGCGACGTGGACGACTACGGCCTCTACACGATCGACGGCACGTCCAAGAAGATTTTACCCGACCTCGACGCCTTCCAGAACGAGTCGTCGGCGTTCTCGTCGGTGATCGCTGGCGCTTGCTACTCGCCGTTCCATCTCGACTCGTACCCGCTCAACGGCGTTGCCCACGGCAGTCTCTCGGCCGGCATGGACGACGACTTTAAGCTCATGAAGAAGTACGTGGGTGTCGTCCGCACCTACTACTCGACCTACATGGGCGTCGACGTGACGCCGATCGCGGCCAAAAACGACGTCCCGCTCTACCTCGGAGTCTTCATGACGGACCAGCCGTGGTACGCCAACCAAGTGAACGCGGCGATCCAGGGCGCGATCAAGCACCCGTCGACCGTGAAAGCGATCCTCGTCGGCAACGAAAATGTGATTCCGGTCGGACCGTACAGCGCGTCGTACATTAGCAGCCAAATCTCGTACATTCGGTCGCAGATTGCGATGCAGTCGAATGGCAAAGTCAACACGGTGCTCCTCGGGACGGTCCAGCGCGTCACCGATTGGCTCAACCCATCACTCCGCACCGAAATGAAGAATCTGGCCGACAACTCGGACATTATCGGCGTCAACATCTACCCATTTTTCGACAACAGCTACGACAGCAGCAATCCCACCGTGCTGCTCAACGCGCTCTGGGACCAAATGGCCGCCATCTACCCGGCGTCCAAGCTCCGCCTGACAGAAACCGGGTTCGCGACCGGTGGGCCGCCGTCGCCGCTCTCGCCCCGCGTCGTCCCAAGCTTGAACAATGCCATCACGTACTACATGGCGCTCTCGCAGTGGCAGCCGTCGGCTGGCGGCGGCGAACTCTTCTGGTACACGTTCTTTGACCTGCGCGCCGACGACCGCACGCAGCCGGAGGAACTCGAAAAGTACTTTGGCTTCTTCACGGCCGGCGGGCAGCAAAAGGTCGCGGGGTTTCCTCCACCCTACGAGGCACCTGCGTTCACGCTCGCACCGGCGCTGCCCGTCGTGACGGTGTCGCCACTGACGTCGCCACCCGCAAGGGCCACGCCCGCGCCGAGCTCAGCAGCGTTCATGGGTGCCAACTACGATCCGTTCCACAATGCGGCCTACCCGAGCAACCTGCCAGCGCTCGGCGTTGCCATCACGCAGGACCTCGCGGTCCTCAAGAAGCACTTCAACGTCGTCCGAACGGTCTACACCAACTTTTACGGCATCGAAATCGCGCCGTACTTGGCCGCCGCCAAGCTCGACGTGTACCTTGGCGTCTTCATGACGCGCGAAGGATGGTACACGAGCCAAGTCAACTCGGCCATCTCGGCGGTTCGTGGCTACGGCGGCCACATCCGCGCGATCCTTGTCGGGAATGAAAACATCAACTTGAACGAGAATTTCTCGCCGTCCGAGGTCGCGGCGCAGGTTGTCGCGGTGCGCTCGACGTTGCGAGCAGCGACAAGCGCGGCTCTCGTGATGGGCACGGCGCAGAGGGCGGCGACGTGGCTCACGGGGACCACCGCCATGCGGGCGCTGGCCAACGCTTGCGACGTCATTGGCGTCACGTACCAACCGTATCTGGACGGCAAGTACGACCCGGCGAATCCCACCGCGGGGCTGGACCTCGTCTGGACGCAGCTCAAGAAATTGTACCCAGCGTCCAAGCTCCGGTTGGTCGATGTGACCTTTCCGTCGGCGCCGGTGCCGTCACCGTTCAACTCGGTTGCGACGCTGGCCCTCCAGCAAGCCTTTTACAATGCACTCCTCAAGTGGGTTGCCATCAACTGCCCCACGACCGAGCGCTTCTGGGGCACCTTCTTTGACAACGCTGCGCTGCGCCGCACCGGCGGCCTGTACACGGCGGCGCGACTGCCGAAATCATCGGCCTTTCCCTTGCCTTTGTAAGCATGTATGCTCGACCAATACATAAAACGTGTTTAAACAAACGGCTTGGTGCCCACGAGTCGAGCGCCAACGTGCCCTACATCCCAGCAGTACGCGTCTCGTCCACCCGAGGCTTCAACGCACTCAGCGCCTCATTCCGTAGCCCTTTGCCTCGCGAGGTTAAATGTAAAAGACGCATCCTATTGAGGTATATGTGCTGTGTCTATTGCTCGCGGCGCGTGAGCTCGGCGTCGGTCTTGCCATTCCCGAGGCGCTCGACGCTGTGGCGCATGGCCAAGATGGCGTCCGCGGGGGTCGGCGGCGCGGAAGACGGAGCTGCCTGCGACGATCATATTGGCGCCGGCCTTGGCCGCAGCGTCGATCGTCGCAGGCCCAAGGCCGCCGTCAACTTCAATGTCGAGCAGCGGGAAGCGTTCGCGCAAGAAGGCGACCTTGGGCATCATGTCGGCCATGAAACTCTGGCCGCCAAAGCCCGGCTCGACCGTCATCACGAGCACCATATCGACAAGGTCGACGTACGGGAGGACGGCGTCGGCGGCAGTACCCGGCTTGATGGCGACGCCGACCTTCATGCCGGCGGCGCGGATCTGCGCAATGAGCGCCGTCGGGTTGCTCGTCGACTCGAGGTGGAAGGTGAACTGGTCGCCGCCCGCGTCCTTGATATCGTCGACCCACTTTTCAGGCTCCGAGACCATCATGTGGCAGTCGAAGAACGCGTTGGTGTGCTTGCGGAGGCTCTTGATGACCGGCGCACCCCACGTAATGTTGGGCACAAAGTGGCCGTCCATGACGTCGAGGTGCAGGTAGTCGGCGCCGGCAGCCACGACCTTGAGCGCCTCGTCCTTGAGGCACGCGAGGTCCGACGCCAGCATCGACGGACCGATCTGACACACGCACGAGTGGCACATCCTGGCAGAGCTCGTTGGTGGCGACTTGCGAAATGACCGTCTTGGCCGGTGGTATTTTTATACCAGGATTTTATGCTTCCTACAAATAACGAGTATACAGATACGAAACCATGTATAATATTGCAACGCAATGGATCAGTTTATTGCTGAAGCCCGCGACCCTTCCTTGCAGAGATAGAAAGAGAGAGATGCGATGCGCGCCTGCATGGAAGAATGGCACGACGTGGTCGAGGCGTCGAAGAGACATCGTTCGATGCTCGCGAAGGACGCTGACAAGTGCTGCCGTCCATAATGCAGAAATTACTCGGATTCTTGCTGTAAAATACTTGGATTCTTGCTGTAAAATACTTGGATTATTGCTGTAAAATACTTGGATTATTGCTGCGTTGAACAAACTGGTGTCGCGGCGCCGTCCTTGCCTTTTACATCGACGCCACGCTACTTGACGCGAAGCTCCGTCGTAGCGCACGCGTCCAAAGGGGCTCGCTGAAGGTGCTCTGAAGGTGGTTTCAGCGCCGGCATATATCTGACCTTTTCGTTTTATCCGGATAGTATCGACTTGTAGAGGTTGTGGGCCGCGGAAGGACTGGTCGAGAGATTGGGAATTTACGAAGCAGCGCGATGTCGGCGATCTCCAAGCAAGTGGCGGACCTGAGCCGCAAGATCTTCGAGCGCCTGCCGCAGAACCACACCAAGTCGGGCAACAAGATCATCAGCAAGCAGCTCAAGGGCGACAAGGTCGCGTCCTGGTTCCAGAAGCCGCTGCATCTGCGCGTCGGCGGCTACTCGGAGTACTACCAGAAGATCAACCAGTACCGCTTCGACGTCAACGCGACGGCCAAGCAGCAAGGCCGCGGCCCGCCCAAGAAGGGCGCGGGCAAGCGCTCGTCCAAGAAGAAGTAGAGATGATAGAGACACAAGACGCGGTGGTCTGCGCCATACCAATGTCATGTGCGTTGATCACTCGAATCGTCACGTTCGCCTCGTTACAAGCCCTCACCCTGGCTTCCGACGTCTGTGCGACGACCATGCAGAAGACGTACTCAACACCGGGATCCACAGGGCTTATGTACATGCGAGCTACGTGTAGCGGTCGCGGAGGAAATGGAGCATGGACACGTTGAGCTCCCAAGCGTCCGAGACAGCGGCGTTCGTGTACGGCAGCGTCTGCGTGTACGGCGTCGGGCCAAACTCGGGCGTGAGCGTGTGCACGGTCTCGCCGCGCGCCTGCTGAGAGGCCAGAATCGCGTCCCACCAACCGACGTGGGCAGCAAGCGCCTCCTTGTGCTCGGGCGCGCGAAAGTCGTTGACCTGCGGCCCTTGGCTGTGGCCGACGCGCGCGTGGATGTGGTGCACGAACGGGAACACGCGCTGCAGCACGTGCGCCTGGTCCTCAAGCAGCGACTCGCAGCCGACGCACCAGTGCGAGAGGTCGGCGTTGAGGCGCAGGTCCGGGCGCGCGTCCAAGTACGGCAGCAAAAGCGTCGGGTGGCCGCTGAAGCGGCTGCGGTGGATCTCGTGCACGATGGGCACGCCACTGACGCGGCTCACCTCGTCGGCCAGCGAGAGCAGCTCGGCGTTCTGGCCAAACGAGTACCAGTCCTTGCCCGTGTGCGTGTTGATAAAGCGCGGGCTCGCGGCGACGGCGTTCTCGAGGTACGTTGCGAGCGCGCGCTTGTGCTCGGCAAAGTCGCTGTGCATGACCGTCTCCCACTGCTGCGCAATGAGGTGCAGGCCCGCGGCGCGAATCGCGTCCGTCCACTTGGTGCGCTCGGCGACGTCAAGCGGCAGCGACATCTCGACGCCATCAAAGCCAGCGTCCAGAGCCTTCTGGAGGAAGACGTCGCGCGCCAAGTGCGCGCTGCCCCAATGCGGCGCGAACACGAGCAGGTTGGCCTTCTGCACCTTCCGCACCGCTTGCTGCATCGTCCGTGGCAATTTGCAATGGTGGCAATGCCGAAAATAAGACCAGAAACAGGGCCCGCGGCCGCCGACACCTTGGTGCATCTAAGCCGCGACGACAAAGCGACCATAGGCGCTATGCAACGGTAGAAGTCTGCGTCGGCGATCGAGGCGAATGGGGCAAGCGACGTCGCGCCGATGCGAGCATGCTGTATCGTGCGTGGCACATGCCACGTCAAGTGCAATAGCCGTTGTCTAGCGCTTCTACCCGACAGGTCGGCTAAAATAGTGTCGGTTAGGAACACTGAGTGTGCGGCGACGGAGTTTCATTGGTTCGGGCTACGCTTGTAGAAAGGGTACGTTGTTGTCAGTTTAGAAAAGACGCCCGCGCCAAGATGACCAAGCATGATGCTTCCGTGCAGAAGAACAACTTTAAGAAGGTGAAGCTCCACAAGAAGAAGCGCATGGAGGCGAAGAACCAGAAGAAGGTCTTTGTCATGCAGAACGGCAGCAAGAAGACGGTCGGCCGCCCGGCCGCGAGCAAGAAGAAGGTGCGCCGCGACACCAAGCGCGCGCAGAAGAACGCCAAGTACGAGCAGGAGCAGCTGCTCAAGAGCGGCCTCATCACGCAGGAGGACATTGACAAGCTCGCCCAGGAACAGAACGACATGGAGGACGCCGCCGATGCCGAAGAATAAGTGTATGCCCGAATTAAGTATATTTTGATCACCTTCGCCGCCAACGCTGCCGCCTCCGTGTCGAAATGCAGTCAAGATGCTACCAAGCAGTCTGTCGTGCACATTGATTGTGTCGGACACATCTCACGACAAGTGGTACGCAGGTCCTCGAAAGTGTTCAAGCAGCAGCACAAGGGAAGATGACTGTTGGTATAGCGCGACCAGCTCACAAAGCTTTCGTGAGCAAGCGCTGCGTGTCCTAGCATACATGGTTTCGCCAAAGGTCCACCTCCGCTCTTGTACATACGGTCGTTGGACTTGCTCTTGTGGTCGAAAGCCAATACATTCAGCTTCGCCATAGATGCACGATTTCGTTCATCATTTGCGTCAAAAGCTCGCCAACAAAAGAGATTATTGCGCAAGATGGTCGAACCGAAGCTCAATCGATAGCTCTCGGCACAAAGCGTTGACGTGACCTGCGTCGGGCGTTGTGCTACCTATGCTACCAACGCTGAGAGCCTTCGTTGTTTGCTCTTGAGAGCGCTCGGGAGAGGTGCTTGAGCGATCTTACGACACCCTCCAACTTCAATGTGATGATGGGCGAAAATATGGAAGCTTCGTCACCCTGTGGTGATTGGGTATTGCCAGTGCCAATACGCCCGCTGATTGGACAGATTGTGTGTCGAGAGTCGATAAGACATCGAATCTGAGAGGTTGTCAACGAAGATGGCATCCGCAGCGATCTTGCGCGCCTAGTGACTGGCAGCTCGCTAGGCGTGCTGTCTCTGCTGCGCAGCCTCCATATAATCACGAAGGCGATGCTTCTACGACGAATGGCTCCTACGCCTCGTGAGGCTGCCCGTTCGCTCTCTCCCGCTGTGTCACAGGCCGCGACGCATGACGCTGGTGCCGCCATTGGAATGTAGCAAAGCAAGTGGCCACGCACGCTCCAGCCCCATGCAGCGCAAGGTTTAACAGTATTGACAAGGAATAAATAGCTATCTGTACAGAAGCGCGCTCCAACTACTCGCACCCGTAGGCTGCCACGAACGCAAGGCGATGGTGCGTGAGCGCAGCGCGGATGCTTTCTCGTGACGGCTCGTTGTCCTTATCCTCTTCGGGCCACACAAGCGGCTCGGCAGTGCGCAGCGGCCGTGGCCGCTTCTGGGCGCCCTGTCGCGGTGGGTGGCATCCCATCGAGAGCGACGCCGGCGTGTTGTAGCCAAACGAGGCCACGTCCAGCGCGCGCTTGGCGGCAAAGGTCTTGAGCGACGGCGCATCGATCGACACGAATGGCGAGTCGCCGCCTTCGGTGTCGGTGACCGGTGTCGTCGCCGTCACCGAGCACAATGCTCGCCTACGAAGAGAGGCCACATTAGCTTCAACACGCGGAGAGGCGCTGGCGACTACCTTGTGGCGGGGCGCAAGGGGGCCGGATGCGCGACAAAGTCCATGGCAGTAGTAGTTTAGGGCGGAGGTGGTGGATCAATTTATGACGGGCGCGGCGAGAGTGCCAGCGAGGCTTCGAAAATTCATCTCGTTCTGTATTTCTGAGTCCTCCGGAAAACACACGCAGCCAAATCTAGAAGAGCAACCAATTGGCCTAATCAAGTACACCGCGGCCTCTCCCAAACCCAACGCCCTTGAAAGGGAGCGGCCGCCGACGCCGGATGAATCCCATGCATCAAAGGATGCGATCTGCTTGGAGAGTACTAGAACTAATTTGGCTCTTGAAAGCTATCGACTTGTTGGGCAGTGCAGCGCAGAACCGCGTTTTCACTAGTTCCGACGAGAGCCAGTCGAGTACTGAAGAAGCGAATTCCAACTTTGCATGCGGATGCTCCCAAGTGCAATTGCGGCGGCGCTGCTGCTGGTCCGCCGTAGACCTCTTGAAGTGCAGTTTGAAGTCTGCAAGAAGTTGTCGACCGACGTGCCGAAAGCATCGAGAAAAGAAATTCGGTGGTGTCCAAGACGTCATTGCAAGCTTCGATCGTCGAAGGAATAGCAGCAAGGTACCGGTACCAAGGTCGCGGTTTCACCGTTCCAGATGCACCGCAGCAGCAGTAGCAGCATGGCAACAGAGCTCGACCAGTTTCGCAGCATTTCATAGTACTACCAAGGCCTTGGTACTACGCAGTACGTGCGAGGCCGTTCCACGGTGTTGCTTTTGCCCAAATGATATACATCGAGGCTGGTAGGTACATGCAACGTGCAGCGCCGACGTTGCACAGGTCTGAGCACGCGCCTCACAATGTTGCTCCTGGTCTGCAATCTCAAGCGATTGCAGAAAGCGATTGCCGTTGCCACGGGTCCCGAGTCGTGTCTTCTGCGTTCAACATGGTCGCGCAGCCGTCGCTTGAACGGGACCGAGTGTGGTTCTGATCCGCGTCCCTGAGTCGTCGGCTCGAGGCGCTCGACCGGCTGCCACGTCATGCGCTGCGCCGATGCCGCACACGGTCACACACACGAATGGACATTAATGTTAGCAGACGACGGTCGAGGCGGATAAATATGTACCAGGTCGTACAATAAAATAGCAAGCGCGCCGGTCACGCGGTTCTTGGCGCTGGCGATGCGCTGGCCGCGAGGAGACAGGCGAAGCGGGCGCGGTGGTTGGCCAAGGACGCGGCCATGTCGTCGTCAGCCAGGATGGCGTCGAGGAACGGCAGCACGTCGAGCGGCCGGCCGGAGCGCGCGACGAGGCGGTGGGGCAGGCCGCTGCGGGGCGTGCCCATGAGGTCCGAGAGCATGGCCGCGTGGGCGCCGCGGAGCGCGGGCGCCGCGACCGAGACGGGCGACGCAGGGGCCATCGAGAGCATCGCAAAACCAAGTGTGACGAGCAGTATCTTGCCGGGATCGACAGGCTTTTCGCGGCCGCGGTATTGAATTACCTTGCGAAATGTATGCCCATATTGAAACGAGAATTTAATCTCGTTTTGGCGGGTTAACCGCCGAACGCGCGATGATTGGCTGTATTTCAGCCACTCACGACCACGCTTGGGAAATGAGCGCCTCGAGCTGTGGTGGCAGCGCAACGGATTTGGCGCCAATCGGATCCGAGAGGAGACCGAGGCCGCGCGTGACCTTGGCGCGCAACAAGGCGTCTACGAGGGGCTCGTGAGATGCAAGAGACGACGCGGCGAGGACGACCTCGCGCGACCAAAGCCGCGCTGGCGTCGAGGTAGGTGTGGAAGCGCATCTGCGCGGCGCGGGTCGGCTGGAGGAGTAGGACGCTAATACAGTACTCGCCGCGTGAATGGGAGCTGCTCAGTGGAAACAGTACCGCTCCAATGTATCGAGAAGCTTGGTGATGCCCATCATCTAATAATGGAGGCAATAATTAGCACCAAGTCCATCGGACGATCGCGCGCGCACCGTGGGTGGTAGGAGCGAGAGGAGCAATGACGCGCTCTCGAGGCGCACTTGCTCTTCGCACTCTTTGATGAGCAAAAGGTGCAGCCCGTCGAGCTACGACCAAACGCATGACGCAGGAAATACGCTGGCGATCGTACCGGGACGTTGATGGAATTCGCGATTGCCAAAAGCTTTCGAACGATCGTCAGGCGCGCAGCGACCTTGTCGAGAGCGAAGAAGACATCTGTCCGGTCGTCGCGTCCATCAAGTACACTTGACGTAGAAAGGGTCGTACCGTAAATACGCTGACACGTCTCCTTTCCTTTAAGGCGGAAGAAAGACCGGAAGAAGGCGGTCGCCGTCGCTTCCATTGCGTCGTCGCCAGCAACAAACGCGATGGACAATGAGCGCAGCTTATCGCTGCGCAGCTGCCCATTGAGAACGAGGCGACACATGACCTCGAGCAGTTTTGGCGCCATGGCATCGAGCTGCTCGAGCTGACGATAGAGCGCGTCGATGCCGGCTGACTTGACTTGCGACGGATGCAATGTGGGCTGGATGCTGGCCCAAATGTCTGTTTGAGCATGAGAAGCGACGCGTTCGATAGCGCAAGGACGCACCCAAGCACGCAGACCGAAGTGGCCCAGCCTTGGACCCGTCGCCGATGAGCTCGACGAGCCACGGGTTGTACTCTTTATAGCAACCATAAACATACAAGTTGCAAGCTGTGTAGCGAACTCTGAGCCATCGCGCGCGACACTCCTAATACAGGCAGAATTAATAAGTATCGATCCCAAGCCCAGAGATGGGATACGCATGAAATCGCCAAGCGACGCTAGTGCGCAGAAAACCAGCGATTGTGGCGGCGAGAACGCCGCGCCAGCTAGAAAAAGTGACCGGTCGTCCTTGCATCCGTTCGTGCATACCAGCAGGAAGGAGTAGCACTTCGAGCAGCGGCAAGAAGGCCGCAAGTAGACCTTCGTTGAGCGTCTTTTCTCTCTCCTACGAAATAGGAAACGTGAGAGCGATGCTTATGAATTGTATGCGAACAGTTTGAATGGCGCGCTTCTGGTCCATCTCGAGCTCATACTCGTCCATGTAGTGCTCTTCGTCCGGCTCGCTGCCCGGGCTTGCTTCCATCAGCGTCGGGCACTGTCGAGCGATGAATTTTGCGTTCTCTGTCGCCACGACGCCCAAAAGACGCACAAAGCTCTGGACGCGTGCCAAGTCATGACCATCAAAGGCCAAATCCTCAATGTAAAAAATGAGGATCGACGTGGTCAAGCAAGGACGAGGTACGTACTTGGGCATGGGCAACGACATAGTACACACGCTCTTGGGCTTGCGGTAGCGTGTACCAGAGTCGCATCAAAGGCCTACGCCGTCCTTTTCTCATTCTCTCAAGGAGTAGAATGGACGTACGGCTGGCACGGCCCGCAAAACAGCAAGTCGGAGAGCAAATCCTCCAGCGCCGCCGACCACGTGTCTCTCTTGCAGCGCGCAGCGAGCAGAAACTGCAACGCATGGGCGCCAACATATTCGTCGTGTGGCGTGCGAGCACAGGCGCTGCCAAAAAGCTGGTGCAGCAGCTATATACATCGTTGTGCCCATGTCAACCAAGTCTCGTCCTAGCATTATGTACCTGCAGCGCGCCGTCCGTGCATTGTTCGACGGCGCGTCGATGCATGTGCAGAGCCCACGATGTCGCCAGAAGGAAGACGCCGATCGAGCACGGCGCGCTGTACTGATCAATCGCATTTTCGAATCGCCGCAAGAGTTCTTGGATCCATAGCGATGCTCCTTCGTTTGACGGCGCCACATGGCTGAAAAATACCAAGACGCGCTCGGTGCTGTCCAAATTCAGGCCGAAAGGCTCGATCTCGTGCACGATGGTGTAGAGGCGCGTCGCGATCGCGGCGGGCTCAATGCAGCTCAAGCCGTGACGATGAGCGTAGATGTCAATGAGCCGACGCTTTTGATCGACATCGGCAACCGCAACCGCCGCCATGAACGTGTTCAAGTCGATAGGAAGCGACGAAGCATGCAGAAGTGTAGCGACGTGCTCGTGGGTTGCCTCGGCTGCCGGCGCTGCCTTGACCAAAATGAACTTTGAGATCAAGTGGCCCGCAAGCTCCCTATTTTACATACATGCGGACATAGTCGACTACGTCCAGGCGATGCATTGACGTACGCTGGTAAATCGACGGCCTCAGAAGCTGGTTCTTCGTGCAGAAGCGTCGCAAGGGCGTGTACCGACGCGACAACAACGCTTTTCGCGCTGTCGTGGACGATGGCTGCGACGAGCGCCTGCTGCAGATCGCGGTCATGACCGACGACAAAGGCCTCACGATGGGCGCTTCGAAGCTGCATCGTGAGTTTGAGCGCCGCGAGACGCAGCGTCGCGTCTGGATCCTCGAGAAGCACGCCAAGCGCCTTGCAAACAAGCTCGCGGCAAAAGTACGCTGGTGCGACAATCCCCATACAGTCCAGCACGAGCTTTCGAGCGGCTTTCGACGGCTTGGTTGTGGCCAAGACGGTCGCGACCTCTGGTAGCAGAACGAGTGCTAACGCCGGTCGGGGCTCCAGCAGCTTCAAGAGTAGCGACGACCACTGGACATCATCCCTCGCGCGCCGCAGAAGCTTGAGGAGGAGATCGATCTGCGCTCGACTCGAGGCGTCGTCAAGCACAAGCGTGCAAACATCCAGCTTCCGGTCGATGGCGGCTTGCTTCTCCCAGTTGGCGAGCACGACATCATGCGTCACATCGTACTTGATGCACAGCGCGCGAGACGCCTGCTTCATCTTGGCCGTCATGGGGCAGACGTTGGTGATTCCGATAAAAAGGCCGCGCATGAGCATCGCCGTGTCCATGAGGTCACAGAGCGTCGGCGGCAGGTCCACGGTCGGTGCTGCGATAACGACTGCAGCGTACCACGCATGAAACTCGGTCTTCGTCGGGCAGAGGAAGCTCTTGGCGACGAGGGTGCATGTCCAGACCCAGAGCGGCGCCGCCATGTCGGCGTCCCCGGCGCGCAGCTGGCGCACGAGCGTCTGCCCGAGCTTGCAGAGCTTGCTCGGCGTCATGTTCATGGCGCCGACGTCTTCCCACCGAACATGCCGCATGAGCGCGCCTCCGAGGGGCGGGAGCCGGCCGCTGCATGCGTACGTCACGAGGTCCTCCATGCGCTTGGTTGTCTCCCCGCCGAAACTGAAATGCAAAGATCGCGCCAAAAGCGAGTCCGGATACGTATACGGAACCGGATATCCGGATATGGTTGGCGTATGCGGACCGTCACGGCTTCAACCACTGTCAAGATCGCCATGCGGCTTTGGTAGCCGGTCGAATGAGGACGCATCTGCCAGGCTCTCGCACCCCTGCGCCGCACGAGTGTATCTTAGAGTTCCATCACTATCACGTGCGCTCTGCACGTTGCGCCCGTCACGCCCGTCAATAAGGGGTCCCTCGCAGACACCTTACAAGCTAGCACGTCGGAACTTCAGACGTGCTCAGACTCTGAAGTCGTTGGGACAACAGGTACATTGTCTGTAGTAGTATTAAATGTACGCATAAATGTACACACGGCGGTGGCGGCGGCAAAGGTCGTTGCGATACGTCCACTTGGTGCAGCCTGGCCGAGATGGCGGTATGGCGACCGCACAAGGTCCCGCAGGCGTCGACTGTGCAGCCTTTAAAGAGGCATCGGCGAACCGAGCTGCGACAAAGATGCGTCGTTTGTGGATACAACGTCGAGCGGCTCTGCGTCGTCGTGCGTGGCATCGTCTCGATCTCTTGGTACAAATGGAAGTCCGAATTGAACCTGTTTTCTAGCGTAACCTTTACCAGGTTGGACAAACGCTTTTACACAAAGGCTCAAGAAGTCTCTCCGAGCTAGGAAACAGAAGGGTACTTAAGACTGTCCGATTGCCAGAGCACCTTTGTATAGCATCAAGTTTACTGGAAATGCAACCGCGAATCAGCCCAATGATGCGGAGAAACCTTGATGGTTACGTGGGACAAGGAACAGCGCAGGGCACATCAAGCACGTAGCTGACGCTTGCGGTAGACTTCAGTCACAGGCACAAGGGCAAGACCCAGCGCCAGCGACGCGCTGTACATGCCAATGCGACCTGCCGCACTAGCCAGCGCGACGGCGGCCGCCGGAATCTCCAGGAACGCAAAGAGTGCGCTACACGTGTAAATGGCGCCCATGAGCGTCCCGAGGTGTGTGGCGCCAAACGTTCTCGCTGCGCACGTCGCCACGTTCGAGTATAGGAACGCGCGAAAGCCCGTAAAGAGCACAAACGTGGCAGGCTGCAGCGCCAGGATAGGGACCATCGCGAGCGCGTTACTGAGCACACCGAGGGCCGTCGTGAGGTGCATCGAGGCCGCCACGCTGTGCGCCTCGACGACGCCGTTGATGACCGGGACAAACACAAAGCCCGCGGGGAGGATCCAGCCAAACGCCTTGGTGTACGCATACGAGGTGTCGCCAAATGCCTACTCAAATAGTACATCCATAGCGTACATCGCGCCATATCCTACCGCCAGCGTCTCGTCAATCGTGCCAAAGAAGAAGGCGGCGCGGAAGATATGGACGCCGGCAAAGAGCAGAAGGTAGCGAAACTCAAACGTTCGGATCTGAGCGCTCAGTGATATCTTCGTTGGCGCCTCGGCCTCGACGTCGGCGTCACTGGGCACCACGGCATAGGCGTCGGTGCGGAGATCCCGCGTGTGGCGCAACCACAGCACCAGAAGCAGCGCGTAGGTTGACGCGGCAAGGCAGGCGCATCCCAGAAGCAGCTCGCGGCGCGAGAGGCCGTACGACTCGTGGAGGAGGAAGAGCAGCGATGGCATGACGGCCGAGGCGTCGTAGAGGCAGTTGACGCCGGCCAAGATGGCCGTTTGCCACCGGAGGAGGACAAAGCCAGCGCGAAACGAGGTGAGGAGCGTCGCGATACCGCCGACACCGAGGAGCGTGTACGCCGGTACAAACGCGTCGAACGAGCGCGAGTCGGCGACCGCAAGCAGCGCCAGGCCCAGCGTCGTGCAAAGGCCGCCGATGGCCGTCATACTCGGTGCGCCAATGGTGTCGAGGATCACGCCGACCGGCAGCGAGCTCAAGGTTGCGACGAACTGGGCAACGCCGTAAATAAGGTTCAAGCGGTTCTCTTGGGCCGGACACGTCCGCTCCGACGGCTTGCAGAGCTCGTTGTACTGGCGCTCCTCGAGAAGGAAGAGCAGCAGCGACGACCAGCCGTAAATGAAGCCCGAGAAGAGCAAATTGGCCAGCAGCACGAGACCCACGAGCGCCCAGGCGACTCGGTTGCCCGCTTTCTACAAGCGCACACAGTATGAGCGACAGAAGCTAGCAAGCGTGCAGCGGCTACGTACGGCGGGGTGGGCGACGAGGAGCGGGTTGTCCAGCACGACGTCCATCGCTCACGTTGCCGTTGGATATGAGATCTTCCCCGAAGTCGTAGATACTGCGTATGCGTTTTCAGAGGTTTTCGCTGGACAGTGCAATCACCATGGCAATCACCTAGTACAATTGTGGCATCGAGGGAGTACAGTAGCATCATACCTATGTGGTCATCGTGGTGGTCCGGCACGACGCAATGCTGATCCCTGCAATCGTGCGCCTTGTCGATGCTCTTGCCTTCCGCTCATCGCTCGTATCTCGCGGTTGCTGGCGTTAATGAAGGACCTTCTCGCGGGCGTAGACTTGAGTCAATCAAAATGATGGCGTCGACCTTCTGGGACGGCCATTCGTGCGTGCAGAGGCATGTGGTTAGGGTCGCAGAGTAGGCGCATTCTGTACGCAACCCGTCATCCCGTCCACTGATGTATCGATCCCACGCACACGCCGCCATGGAGCTCGGCGCGATAGCACAGTGTTAACAAGACCAGGCGGCGTGCGAGCGCAAGGCGACCGTTGGACGAATGAAAGTAGTTTCTTTACATCGACCTACGAGCTGCGACGAGTAAGCTACGGCTCGCCGACAGCGCCGCTCGATGCGGCCAAGAGAGCGCGCTGTCGGTACTGCTCTGTGAGGGGCACCAAGACGGCGCCAAGCACAAGCGTGCCAATGTACACGTGCGAGTAGTCGTGTCGGGCGTTGGCGTAGGCGACGGCGGGGATCTGCAACAAACTCACGAGCGAGCCCGAGGAATAGATGAAGCCGACCAGAGTTCCCATGAACGTGAGTCCAAATATCTTGGCTGCAAACGCCGTGATGACCGTGTACAAGAAGGCGCGGAAAGCTGTAAAGACGCCGAACGTGACCACTTGCAGCGGCAGCAGAGGCACAAGCGCGAGCGCGTTGTAGAGGAGGCCGAGCCCGACGGTCACGTACATGGCCATCGGCATGCCGCGGTCTTCCACCACGTGGTTGATGACGGGTACGAAGAGGAAGCCAAGGGGCAAAATGAAGCCGAAAAGCTTGGTGAAGATGTGGCCGTCCATGTCGTCCCCATAGATCTAACAGTCGGATCGATGATATTGGATGACTCACGATCGCCGAGTTGGGATGTACCTCGAGGACGTTGGTGGTGGTGCCAATGTACAGGTTGGCGCGGAAGAGGTGGATGCTTGTAAAGATGAGTAGGTACACAAACTCAAACGACTTGAGGTGGTCCCAGATCGACGCCTACAAGAGAGACTGTGACGAAATGGAAGGTTTTGGAGAGAGGCCCACGGCGGCAGTGGGAACCGGCGGAAGGAGTCGTTTGGTTTCGCCCTCATTCGGCGGCACCTCGACGAGAAGGTGCTCGTTCACATGCCAGAGCCCGACGAGGCAGGCATAGACGGCGAGGCAAAGCACGGCGTAGCCCGTGAAGATGGCGTGGCGCGACCAGCCGAGCGACTCGTGGAGGTAGTAGAGGCCGAGCATGACGGCGCTGCTGCCGTCGAACGCACAGCTGACGGCTGCGAGGATCACGGTCTGGTACTCGGGCACAAGGAAGCTCGACGAGAAGGACCCCATGAGCGTCATGCCGCCGCCGACTGCGAGCGTTGCGTACGCCGGCACAAACACATCCAGCGTCTTGGAGTCGGCGGCGCCGAGGAAGAAGAGGCCGGTGGTTTGCAGCACGCCCGCGACGAGAATCGTGTACTTGGGCCCGATGCGGTCCATGAGCATACCCACGGGCAGCGAGATCATGGACGAGAGGAACGTGGCGACGGCGTAGACAAGGTTGAGCTGCGTGTCCTGGTCGCTGCAGCGGACGCCATCCCGCACGCCGAGGCAGAGCTCGCCGTACTGGTCCTCCTCCTGGAGCATGAGTGCGAGCGGCGCCCAGCCATAGATGACGCCAGAGAAGAGAATGTCCGAGAGGAGCACGAAGAGAACCTGCGCCAAGACGACGGACCGCGCCATCTCGAAGTCTTATGAAGGTCGATGGCATCCTTGCTATCGAAGTTCGACCTTGAAGTTGAAAGACTAGAATCACGCCATTGTTTTGATTCTATGGCATCCTAGCACGCTCGCTGGAAGCCTTAAAGGTGCGTTCAACTAGAGCTGCAACTTGATGGAATCAAGCGAAGTTCGAAGGTAAAATGCAGTTGGCCAATCACAAGCGGGTTCAACGGTGGCGGCTTTTCCAGGAGGCACGGCAACCCCGCCGACGGCCATGGCCAATGTATCACTGAACAACGCTCCCTGGTATACCGCAATCACATCAGGTCTGAGGACCAGGTTGACGTGATCCAAGCGCATCGCAAGCCGCCGACGTGCCATGGCGTGTACATTACGTCGCGTACAAATTGTATTAGATCCATCAACCGAGCGCATCAACACAAGGTATACGGTGCGTAATACCAAGTCTGGTGCACGACGTGCGACGCACACGGAAAGCACTCTGTGATCGTTTACTGCGTTGATCTCGTGTGCGCCTCAGCTGCCATCCAGCGTCTGCGTCATCGCGCTCACCGTGGTCCCGTCGAGTCGGCACAGGGCCTTGAGACCGCGCTCTTGGGAAGATATCGGATTCACTCTCTCAACACGTTGCACTCAAGAGGGCTGCACTCTAGCGCTACGCCAGAAACCTATCTAAAAACACATAGTAGAAACATATAGCAGTCTTTCCCGAGCTTTCTTGCAGGGCCGCTGGCCATGGTGCTAGGCATTGGAGTATCGTTGCCATCAAAACGTCTGGCGAAACATCGTCGTCTTCCACCGATGTCTGCATTTTCGCCTGTCTGGTGGATCTTCGACTGAAACGCCAACATGACCTTTGAGCGAAGCGCTTACCGCCTCCTACCCCCTGTGTGTGCCGTCACCGCTACGCTCGACGCCGGCTCATACCGGCTTGTTGGATAGGACAAAGGACACCCACAAGCGCCCACACTGCTGGTGCTGCTCGTGCTGGTCGCCAACCTCCTCTTCTCCGGGTTCATTTCGGGCTGGGCGTCCACGCAACTCTTCCTTATCGACGAAGACCAATACCACGACCGCTGTGAGAGTACGACGCGCTGCGCTGCGCAAGAGTCGCAGCTCTCACTCATCTACGGCGTCGCACAGTTTACAACCACACTAAGCTCGTTCCCCGCAGGCCTCTTTCTCGACAAGGCTGGGCCAGTCGCCACCAGTCTTGTAGCCGGCGTGCTCTCGGCTACAGGCTTCGCGCTCATGGCCGTCTCCGACTCGGTGACGTTCGATGGCTTCATCGAAGGCTACTGCCTTATAGGCGTTGGTGGCACGCTCACGCTGCTCACGTCGTTCCAAGCCGGGTTCGTGCACCTTCCGTGGCAAACGCTCGTCCTCGCCGCGGCCAACTGCCTCTTTGATGCGAGTGCTGTCATGCCCTCGGTGCTCTATGCGCTCCATACCGCGCTCGGTGCGTCGCGGCAGACGCTGCTTCTGATCTACGCGGGCCTTGCTCTGGCCGTGTACCCGCTGCTAGCCCTCTGCTGGCACCTCCACCGTGGCAACAAGGAGGTGAACGACGAGAAACGACTACTCGTACCTTCGTGGTCAACACAGCTCGTCTCGCGGTCCTTTGGCTTCCTCGCCGTCTTTGCCAGCGTGCACAACCTGCAGTCGGCTATCTTTTTTGGCACCATCAATCGCATTCTTGCGGTACTTTCACTTCGTCAGGAATAGCGATTCAGGCGAATATGTGTATAGGTTGACGGGGATCGAAGCCTCGTCTACACGCGCGCGTTTGGGTGGGTCCTCCCCGTTGGGTTTCTGGCGGTGCCGCTCTTGCACGCTGTCGTTCGCAAATATACGGTGCTCGGTGCGATGACAAGCACTTCGCTGCTCTGCATTGCGTACCACGTGCTGCTTCTGCTGCCGTCTCTAGAGCTGCAAGCCATGACGTTTGTGGTATTTACGACCTTTCGAGGCTTTCTCTACTCGACGGTCGCTGCCTTTGCTGCCGATACCTTTGGCGTGGCGAGTCTCGGGTCGCTTCTCGGCGCGCTCTACTCTCTCTGCGCCCTCCTCGCTCTGAGCCAAGTCCCGATTGTGGTCGCCGCCAACGCAACCCCCGCTGGGCACAACACATGAACCTCGTCTCGTTGGCTACCGCCGTTAGCATGCTCGCAGTCATCGAGTGCTATCGTCGATATCGCTCCGTCCATCCTGTCAGCACCAAGTCCGAGGACCTTCTTACGTTGCCTTTGCTTTCTACGTGACTTTTTCGACCTTTTCTCGGAACTACATATGCGACGAGCCATGTACTTGAGGCTATAGGTAGATGTATAATGATGACCAAGTACGCTTTCTATATGTGACTACAGCGGCGGGAGGTACGAGAGGTCCACCGGCGGTTCTTTCTGGCGACGGTGGTTCTGCGGCGTAAACCACGCAGGTGTCTTGATACTGGACACGGGCGTCTTGCGGCGACACGTCTGCGGTGCGTCCTCGAGCATGGCAATGGATTTGCTGTGGGGTCGGTGTGCATGACGTTTGGCCTTGGCGCTGACGCATGCCCAGCAGCTCGTGGCTTGGTCGTCGCCGGCCCCGAGCGCCCGGCAGTTGCAGCATACGCGCCGTGCACAGTCGCAGCACGGTGCGAGCTGCGACTCGCGCGAAAGAAAGAACGGCTTGTTGAGGCAGATGGCGCACCGCGCCTGCGTAAGCTTCTTGGCGAGCCGCAGCGCCGACGGCAGCTGCTTGACGCTCTGCGCCCGTCGAGACGTCATCATGGTCGCGACCCAATTGGGTGTGTGGCTGCTCCAGTCAATGTCGACTCTGCTGCTCACGTGAAGCACACTTGGGTTTGACGTCTCGAGGAGCACAACGCCCCACGACCGAATGTCGACGGGCACGTTGCTGCCGTGGAGAGCCCCGGTGGCGTGCGACTGGAGGTACCGGGCAAACCCGCGGCGACCACTCGCCTCCGTAAACTCCTTGGTGCACTCGATATACGTGGCGCACCGGTCGCGCATGAACGGGAGCGGTGCCTTGAAGACGCCCCAGCGCAGCGAGATGGCCATGCCGTCAGCCTGGAATTGGTACAATGGCTGGGACTTGTCGACGTGGAGGCCGTGGAGTACCGCGGCTGGGTCGTTGGGCAGCTCGTACAGTCGTGCGGCATCGTCAAACGCACCCGCGGCTCCCAAGTCGAGCTCGAGGCGGCAGACTTCGGCGGTGTCGTTGGCTGTCGTGGGTGCCACGGCGCCCACGAGACTCGACCAGTGAATGAGGGCGTTGAGACCGTCGGCGGCCGCGGCGAGGATCTCGGTGCGCGCTTCAGTCGACGTGTTGAGCGGAGTCATGGAAATTGAAAAGTGAGTGTCAATGACTGGAAATATGCAAGCCGGTTTGAAGGAAAGCGGCATTGGCACCGTTGACGCCAGCGCCACGTGATGGCGCCTGGGTGTGGTATGCAACGCCCACGGACTTGGGAAGCATGCGTCTTCCTTAACAACTGCAACGCGAGGTAGATACATCCAGTGACCAACGTGCGTGGTTCGGCCCGTTCTTGCAGACCCTCTCTGCAACCGCTGCGACACCGCGTCCTTCGTCCTACCATGGCCGTCGCCCCGCTCTTGCAGTCCGATGTCATGCACACCTCTGCCTTATTTCTACGGCAGTAGAGCTCATCGGAGCTTCTTCTAGCTCGCGACATCGAATCCATCGTCACGCTCGTGGACAAGAAAATGTCCAATATCGTCCTGAAAACGAGCGCACGTCGCGACGTGATCACATGGCCGTCAGCGACATCTGGGACGCGTGGCGGCATGTCTCGCCAAGCTGACCGCACGTTTGTCCAATTTTCTCCCACAGTCGCCAGGAATGGCGCACGCACGCCTCGCAGCCACATGTTTTTGGTAATTTGGCATCTGTTTACCACCCGTCACTAAACTTAAGGCCACGGACGTACGGTTCGAAAGCATCTTTTGATTTGAAATAAGCTCGTTGAGCGATCCTGCATCCAACCTATCTTGAGCGATGGGCTTGCAAGGTAGTAGATTCAATATTAGACACCGAGCTTCAGCCAGAAAGCAGTGCCCACGCCCACGACGTCATTGGCAGCAATGGCTGCGTGCTTCATACCGATATCCTCGCACGAGCTTCCACCGTCGATGCTGCAACGAGCATGAGTTCATAGAAGCGTCTATTGAACGACCCATAAGTGTGCTTCTCAAGTGACGTAGGCGGTTCGCAAGCCTTGGTGCAAGCCAAAAATCCAACTCTGTGGGTGGGACGTGGCTGAATTGCAGGCATCCAGCGGAAATTTGCTCCGTGGTTCATCTTGTACCCAGTTGAAATTCTTGCAACTGAGAACGAAAAGTCTTTTTGCGCTTCGACGAATCGCTCGTCGGGACCGTACGCCCGCTCGACCCAGTTTTCTGGCGGCTTTAAGTTTAGGGTTGGAACAGCTGGCACCGAGGAATCTCCGAGGAGCCTCATGGGTTGCTTGCTTGTTTTGCCTGGCCTTGCGTCATCCACAGCAGAGGTACGCTTGCAGTACTTGCAACATCTCGGTCAGTGTGTTGGCACAATGGTCGAGTCTCACACGAGATGTAACCAAAAACGTACTAATACATGGCAGCCCCCTGACGCTTTGCAACGCATACAACTACCATATTCTTACCAAGTTTACACATTGGATAGCACAAGATTCCAACTACTTTCAGCAGGCACATCGTGCTACACCTCGATCGACTGCGTGTACATGGACTCGTCGACGTTGGGAATGTGCTTGGGCGTATACCACCCCAGCTTCGTCTCGGGTGATTGGGTCGATGCATCGAGGCGCCGCGTCAACCCCGCTGTTGAGAGACGACGCACGACGACCTTGTTTTTGACACAGCCCCAGCAGCATGTCTCGCCTCGGTTCGGCATCGACCGGCACGTCGAGCACACGGGCTTGGTGCAGTCCGTGCACGGCACGAGCTGCGAAAACCGGTTAAAGGCGCGCGACTTGTTGGTGCACACGGAGCAGTGCTTGGTTGCCGTCTTCTTGGAGAGGCGGAGGACGGTTGCGAGCGCCTTGATGCTCTGCGTGCGCCGAGAGGTCATCAAGGTCGCGACCCATGCCGGCGTGTTGCCGTGCCAGTCAATGTCGACCGTGCTGCTCACGTGGAGGACGTTGGGGTCGGCTGTCTCGACAACAACGACGCCCCACGACCGAATATTGGCGCGGACGTAGTTGGCGTGGTCGACGCGGCCGAGCGTGTGCGACTTGATCAAGCGCGCAAAGCCGCGCAGGCCGTTAGCATTGGTAAACTCTTTGGTGTATTTAATGTACGTGGCGCTGCGGTCGCGCATGAACGGAAACGGCGCCTTGAAGACGCCCCAGCGCAGTGCAATGTCATGGCAGCTGGACGTAAACGTGTAGAGTGCTTGGGACTTGTCGACGTGGACGTGGTGGAGCGCGGCGGCCGCGTCGTTCGGCGACTTGTAGAGCTGGACGACATCGTCGAAGGTGCCGCTGCCATCGAGCGCGAGCTCGCATCGGCACGCCTCGAACGCCCCGTTGGAGGCCACCGAGTGGAGCGACCCCTCGGATTTGGCCCACGCGAGAAGGTTGGCCATGCCCGCCAACGCCGTCGCGAGGATATCAGCGTGGTCCATCGACTGCAGTAGCGGCATAATGTCAAGCGGTGCAAAAACAAGAAGTAATTTGCGTTGCGGAGTCGGAAGCGTGGGATGATACCACTCTGGGTGAGGCAGTCATGCGACGTTGGCCGGCGCTATCGCCTCGCAGCCGCGCTCGCCTGTCGAGCTGCTTTGCACGCATCCGATCATCGAGGTCGTGGAGATACTCGTTCCAATCCGCTGGCGCCACTCGAGTTTACTACGACGAGGCGATCACTATTCTGCACTGTCGGGATGATGGGCAGTGATCACCGTTAGGACCGTGGGACGCATGGTGGCGTGACTCACTCGGCGTCCACCGATTGGAAGCCGGCGCGAGTGCGTTGACTTCCGTTGCCTTCGCCGTTGGTGAGTATTTTCCGTCCATTGTAATCAGCTCCTAGAGCTGGACGAGCCGCGTTTCAAGAGTGCAGAGATGCTTCCGTCGCCGTGCACGCAGAGATTCCATCGACGCCGTAGTAGCTACTAGTGCACAGCCATGCGCGACCTATTTTTGCTTGGTATTTTGCATCGCGTCGAAAAGAGCGGGTCATGCGACATGCCTCGTTATGCTGCACTCTAGTGCTCGACTTGGGTGCCTTGAAGCCGCGAGCATTCCGCCTCGAGATGCTCGTCCACCCTTTCGAACGCGTCGCGCTTGACGTCAATCCATTTATATGTGTTACCGTGCAGAACTCCACGGTGTTTAGTAACAGGTCCAGCCGCTTGGAACGGTACCGTAGACGCCGCGCACGCAACAAGATTGGGCCTTGGACCGACGCAGCGCGAGTGCTAGCGCTCAACCGCTTCTGTCGACCAGTTCTTGACACCGCTACACTGTGCCAACGGGTGCGGACGCGAGAATCCCTCTATAAAATAATACTTTTGGCCAGAAGAAAAACACATTATTGTCTTGTCATAAATACACTCGTTCGGTGACTACGCCGCCAACGTCTTGGCGTGCGCCGGCGGGAGGTACGAGAGGTCGACCAACGCTTCCTTGGCTTGGTGGACCCCGTTGTTCTGCGGCGACGTCCAGCCCATCTTGTCGACAAGGTGGCTATGGCTCTTGTGGTCGCACGAGAGCGGTGACGGCGGCGCGTCATAGGACGTGAGGACCGTCTTGCCGTCGTCCGTCGCGCGCAGGAGGAGGCTCGACTTGTGCCGGATGCACCCCCAGCACGCCGCGCCGTTCTCGGTCGTCTTGTGCACCGACATGCAGGACGCGCACACGAGCTTCGTGCAGTCCGTGCACTCGGTGAGCGACCCGCTGAAGAAGCCGGGCTTGGAGCGACACACGCCGCAGTGCTTGGTCGCGAGCTTCTTGGAGAGGCGCAGCGCCGACGGCAGCTGCTTGATACTCTGCGCGCGCCGAGAGGTCATCATGGTCGCGACCCACGCCGCCATGTTGCCGTTCCAGTCGATGTCGACCGTGCTGCTCACGTGGAGGACGTTGGGATCCGCCGTCTCGACGAGGACGACGCCCCACGACCGAATGTTGGCGCGGACGTAGCACGTGTGGAGCGACCCGAGCGCGTGCGACCGGATGTAGCGCGCGAAGCCGCGGCGGCCGTGCTCGTCCGTGAACTCCTTGGTGTACTCGATGTACGTGGCGCTGCGCTCGCGCATGAACGGTAGCGGCGCCTTGAAGATGCCGAGGCGAAGCGAGATGTCCATGCCGTCGGCCTCGAGCGGGAAGAGCACCTGGGACTTGTCGACGTGCAAGTAGTGCATGGCGGCCGCCGCGTCGCCAGGGTTCTGGTACAGGCGGATCACATCGTCAAACGTACCGGCGTCGTCGAGGTTGAGCTCGATGCGGCACGCCTCAAACGTCCAGTTGGTTGTCTTCGGAAGCATCTTGCCTTGGGCGTTCTGCTGCGCCCAGTTGATGAGGTCTTGGATGCCGCCGGACGCCTTCTCGAGGATCGCGAGCCGCTCGGCCGGGTCAAGCGTGTTGTGCTGAGGCATGCTGCTACTGTACGTGGGCAGACGGCGGGAAATTGCAAACTGAAGCATTCTATCGCGCGCTCGTGCCAAGCAGCTGTCTTTCGTTTTTTTATTCCATGATGTGCGACGTTTATACTACGCCGACTTTTTCTCATAAAGTTTGAGAGGCTGGAAATATCAACCGGATGATTCGTCCGTGGCGACAGCGACCTATCAAGGTGACACACCACCTGGTGTCTGGCTCTGCGTCGGAACAAACTGACCACAGGTCGGACGCACACCAGACGATCACTCAAGATTCCATCGCGGTACGCAGATCCTTGATCTCGGTACCTCCGTGGGTCCCATCGGAGTTCTGACGTCAGTGCCACGACAAGCACAAAAAATAGATACTGATGCCCATCGTGGGTGCCGTGGTCCTTTCTGCCTTGTGGTCGGCGGCGGCGTGGGACCATCGCGTTATGCTGTCGTTCCAAGTTCAGAAGATAGGGCACGCTACGGCGCAGGCCATAATTGGCGAGGTGGGTCTGCACCCGCTCCTTCCAGCGCTATCACGGAGACCAGCCAGCAGATTACTGTAGAAAGATGCTAAGATCTTGGCGGTCGTCCGAACCGCACGATTGCTACAGCTCCGGTGCCCAGCCGGTGGCGTCGAATCGACCTGTCCCAACCTTTTTGATGGATCGATCAATGATGCGACGACGAATGATGTGCCGTGCAGAGGCACGCCCCATCACGGCGCTGCAGGGCGCAACTCATGAAAGCATGGCCATCCTATCCCCGTCTTTGGCGCGAGCGCCTGCAGTTCCTGTGCCGCGCCCAACGTACCCTAGCCCTATGCAATCTCTGGTGTGTCAACAACTACGATCTGAGGACCACACGTCGTGCATTGCTGCCCGCTGGACGATTCTGCGCGCCTGTGTTTACGATTTTATCTCGGGCTCAAACGCAACACTGAGCTTCCGCTGATCATTGCCGAAACGCGCTGCATCGGGCTCCACTTGGTTCGTGCGCCTGCCCCTCGTTCCTAGCACGATCCTGCAACCACTCATGCATCTCGCAATGGCTTGCCTAGCTTCTTCTAGTATCGGTGCGCTTCCAAGACGTGGACGACGTTGCAGGTCGAGCGCTTGACGAGCAAAGAGAACTAAGAGTCCAGTAGAGCGCGACCAGAGTCATGTCCACTTGCAGTCTGTGGTTTCTGTGACGAGTAAGCGCGCCTTCCTCCTAAAGGCGAGATGCTCTCTTGGTTGCTTGACGACTTGGAGCTCAACGTTCGTTTATCATGTCAAAGGCACTTTTTTTACGTTAACTACAACTACGATCTTAGCGCAGTACAGTATCTGTCAACACAATGTAAAACAAACAAACATATCTCACGCATTGATGGCGTTTACAAACTAGGACGACGACGCGGTGGTATGGCGGTGGAATGTGGGGAGGTACGAGAGGTCGACGTGGTCGTTCGTGGGCCGCTCTTCCCCATACCACTCGGCCGTCGCCTGCGAGAAGCGCGCCGGTGGCGACTTGTGCATGCACGACGGCGGCGGCGTCTCCGAGTCGCCCGTGGCCGCCGACTTGCTCCGGACGCTTTTGTCCTGGAGGTGCAACTTGGTTTTGTGGCTCACGCAGCCCCAGCAACTCGAGACGCCCGACGCATGCGAGTGGATGGACCGGCACTCGATGCACACCAGCTTGTCGCAGTCGTAGCACGTCACGAGCGCCGACTGCTTCTTCCACGTCGACGGCTTGGTGAAGCAGATGCCGCAGCGCTTGAGCGCTATCTTCTTGGAGGTCCGGAGGACGGTCGCGAGCGCCTTGATGCTCTGCGCGCGCCGAGAGGTCATCATGGTCGCGACCCATGATGGCATGTTGCCGTTCCAGTCGATGTCGACCGTGCTGCTCACGTGGAGCATGCTGGGCGTCGCGGTCTCGACGATGACGACGCCCCACGACCGAATCTCCGTGTGCACGAAGCGCGTGTCGACTGCGCCGAGCGCGTGCGACCGGATGTAGCGCGCAAAGCCGCGGCGGCCAAACCGGTCCGTAAACTCCTTGGTGTACTCGATGTACGTGGCGCTGCGGTCGCGCATGAAGGGCAGCGGCGCGCGGAAGAAGCCCCAGCGCAGCGAGATGTCCATGCCCGGCTCGTTGAGCGGGAAGAGCTCTTGGGACTTGTCGACATGCACGTAGTTGAGCGTCGCGGCTGTGTCGCTCGGGTCCTTGTAGAGCTGGATGAGCTCGTCAAAGGTGCCGACACCGCTCAGGTCGAGCTCGAAGCGGCAGGCCTCGAAGGTCCAGTTGGTCGTTTTGGGGAGGAACTTGCCGCCCGGCGTCGTCTGCTGCGCCCAGTTGATGAGCTCTTGGATGCCGTGGGCGGCCTTCTCGAGGACGGCGGCGCGGCCTTCAGGCGACGAGACAGGCATCTTGTGCAGCGGAAGCGAATGTGAAAGTGATCAATGGACTGCGCGACCCAGTGAAAAGGTATCGTTGAACAGTGATCGGCGGAGACGCGCTGGAGCCAGCGAGTGGCATGCGTCAGGCGGAGGCTGATTGGCCGCAGAGTGGGATACCCTGAATGATACCCTGGGTGCCGGGGCACCACGACGGCTGACTTTTCCCCGTGACTCACGCAACGCGCTTGACTTCGATTGCACTCACCGCCGTACGCTGCAGACGATAGCGCAGACCTTTCGAATGCCACAGCTTGACGCCTCTGTCTCCACGAGTTGCCCGTTGCTGCTACATGTCGGTAACCATCGTCGGTGGCGGCGACGACGGTGGACGCCATTTGGGAAAGAGGCGGAAGGATGCAGCGTTCCAACGTTCGTCAACGCGAGAATGATCGCTCGCTCGTCACACGGCACCCAAGAGTGGTGTTGATTAGTGCATATGTAATACCAACGCTGCGGTTGTTGGCTGACCTGAAATGTACTCTGCTGACGTCGACCTCCATGCTCGACTTTATATGGCTCAGTGAGCTGGCTCAGTGGCGACCAAGTGGCGACAGCGGTACCCACGGTATGGCGTGTTACTGTCGAGTAACTCGATCATATATTTTAAGTACTGAGAGTAGTAAACGTGCTTTGCAAGCCCGACCAGATGTGTTGGATTGTTCGGCTTTGTTCGTCGTCGAGCGCTCCGTCAACTCCTTCTTACCCTCCGAAAACGAAAACCATCAGCGGATGCTTGAGCAATAAATCCTGCACTCAAAAGTTGTGTTGCACTCTACTCATCGGTCGACTAGATGTGCCATCTGGACCAAATAGAAAGGGCTATCGGATGCAACACCTCGCATCCTTTTCTGGGCTCGTACACTTTGTTGCGCGACAAGCCATTCATTACGCCTTGGCCACGAGGTCATTGCTCTACGTCAGCAATGGAGCGGACGCCCTGGCCATGCACACTGGCGGTCGCGGCGGCTACTGCCGTGTAGCCTTGACTAATCGCATGGGTCGGTACATGTGGTACAAATGCAGCTGTTCACGTCGCACAACACTGTATTACAGTCAAGTTGTTCATGCTTTCAAGCATCAGAGCCAAACTGCTACTGTACTATTGAACCTCCGAGGACGGAGTGGACGATTATGAGCCACAGCGATTTAATACCTTGACGTTTTGAAGCTATTGGCGGTGGATCGAGAGAAGCAAACATTTTTAAATAGGTCTTGACGTGTAAATATTGTACAATAATAGCATGTGATAAATAAAGGTCCTCCTCTATGTCTTAGACAGCGCTCGTTCCGGTGCGAGTCGCCGAGCCGAGTCGAATCGAATAGGCGGGGCGTGCCTCGATCGCACGCAGAGGACCCACGCGCTTGCGGGCCTTGTCGCTGGCGAGGCTGATCTGGCCGAGGCTGGTCGCCTTGACGCGGCAACCGCTGCACACAACCTTCTTGGTCAAATGGCAGAGCACCAGTTGGCCGTCGACCTTGAGAGGCTTTTCGTTGCAGCTGCTGCAGCGGGCCGGCGCCTTGTGCAGCGCCGCGCGAACCACAGCGCCAAGGCGAGCAATGCTCTGCGCGCGCTTCGAGGTCATGCGCGTCGCGATCGTCGACGAGATCGTGCCCTTCCAGTCAATGTCGACCGTGCTGCTGGCGGTAAAGACACCGGGCTCGGCCGTCTCGACGACGACGACGCCCCACGACCGGACGTCGGCCGAGACGTAGTTGTGGTGCGCCGCCGTCGTCGGGTGCGACCGAATGTACCTGGCGTACCCGCGCCGGCCGTGCGCGTCGATGAAGGTCTTGGAGCACTCGAGATACGTGGCGCAGCGGTCGCGCATGAACGGCCACGGCGCGCGGAAAAGCCCCCAGCGCAGCGAGAGCCGCATCGCACGGGTCTTTTGGAGCGAGAGCAGGAGCCGCGACTTGTCAAAGTGGAGGCTGCTGCCGTCACTTGGCTCCTCGTAGACGCGAATGATGTCGTCGAGTGTGCCGACGCCGGCCAGGTCGACGACATGTCGGCACGCCTCGTACGTCCACGTAGCGGTCTTGGGGAGGAGCTTGCCTTCGGGCGTCTGCTGCGCCCACCGAATGAGGTGCGTGAGGCCGTCCGTCGCCATGGCCGTCACACCGGCCTGGTCGATTGGGTCCATCGGAAACGTGGTTGCATTCGGCATGATCGGAGGATTGCGGGGTATATATAAGTGTGCACTTGATGGCAAAAACCAAAGTGCCATGATTGATGTTGATGATGATGACAGCGTGCGACTTGCAACATAACGTGCCGGGTTCGCATACGTACGATGTCGCAAGGCGTAGGACAAGATCGACGGACTGGACACCGGCTCTCTTGGGCGATTCGTACAAGCCGCAATGTACTACACAGCACTTTGATTACGAGGGCCCGAGCTTCGTCTTGCGTGCCTTCTCGAAGCGAGTCACGTACCCGCGTTGACATGCAGTGAGTCCGCCGCGTCACCCAAAACGATTGATTTGTCGCGGCAACATTTTTAAAAATCGCTAGAGAACTATACCAGAAGATAGGCACTGCCCTTTCTTCGTAGCTCTTTTTTTATAAGCCATTTGCGGCGACGCTGGAACCCTGACTGGAACCCATGATCTTGTGATGGCCCGTGGACCTTGCTCAGCGTGATCACACAGTCTGATCACGGGCAGTGATCACGGACGCGGATTCGTCCGAGAAGTCAACAGTTCTCATCACCGCGGCGAGGTGGAAGGAAGTTCCAACGCTGAACTTGGCTGCTATGCTAGACCTGCCGTAAAGAAGCTGAAGTTCCATCCCGGTCGATGCCTATAGGATGTCGCCATACTTCCATTAGTTCCAACGCTGAACTTGGCTGCTATGCTAGACCTGCCGTAAAGAAGCTGAAGTTCCAGCCCGGCTGATGCCTATAGGATGTCGCCATACTTCCATTAGTTTCCGGATACCGGACCCTGGCGCCGACTCGAGTGATCAAGCGTCGGAGGCTCGAGCTTCCGTCGCCAGGAAATATTTTCTACCTTACGACAGCGTTCGACCGAGAAGTGGCGTACTGTAGTATACAAGAACAGGGCCAAGCTGCCTGTGGGCACTAAGAGACAGCGCGAAGATGTGCAACATGAAAATGTTTGAAATTTGGCCGTGCGTCTGCGTTGGAACGACAGGCACTTGCAGAACTTGGTCCGAAGAGCTCGGAGAATACGCGGGACCAGATGCGGGACCATTGCACCGGTGATACTGCAACTATTCTAGTCTGTACCCAGTAGGCGTCTAAACGTTGCTGCTAATAAAACCTCGTAACGATAGTCATTTGTTTCGCGCTGCTCTCTTGAAGCCGCCAAGGATACCCCACGTCTCGGTCGGTGCTCGACTCGAATCGATTCATATGTGCTCCCCAACGATCACGTAAAGGCAGCCACTCTTCGAGACCGAGTGCCAGCACAGGCAAATCCGTTGTGCGAGGTGTCACTGTTGGCGACCCGCTTCGCCACGATACTAATTGTAGTCGCTTGCGCCGTTCCCTCCGCGATCGCAAGTTCCCTCAGGCCATTTCTGCTGGAAGCGTCGATGTGACTGGTATAGATAATACTAAAACTATGGGATTCCTATTGAGCTCAACTACTATTTCTTGCTGTGCAGCGCTGTCGGGCGTGAACGGTACTCGGACAAGTAGCCCAAGTCGACAGGGCCTGGCTCGGTCGTCCACTCCCACGCCGTCGGCGACCGCAGCTCCGACTCGACCGTCGACGCATCCGAGAGCGCTGTGGACCGCGTCATGGCCTCGTCGCGAGCTTTGCAGACGCAGACGAGGCACGCCGTGGCGCCGCTGAGGCGTTGGCTAATCCCCCGGCAGTTGTCACAGAGCGGCTTGGCGCAGCTCTCGCACGGCGTGAGCTTGGAGTGCGCGTCGCAAATCCGCGGCTTGCTGCGGCACATAAAACACCGGTGCTGCGCAGCCTTCTTGGACGCGCGGAGGATCGACGGGAGATGCTTGATGCTCTGCGCCAAGCGCGACGTCATGCGCGTGGCCGTGCACGTCGTGACGTGCCCTTTCCAGTCGACGTCGACGAGCGTGCTTGCGTGCAGGACGTTCGGGTCCGAGGTCTCGAGGAGGACGACGCCCCACGCCCGGAGGTCGACGCGGACGTAGCCTTCGCCCATGGAGCCCATCTCCCACGATGTGATCAAGCGCGCAAACCCGCGCCGGCCGTTTGCATCCGTAAACTTCTTGGAGCATTCGAGGAACGTCGCGTCGCGGTCGTGCATGATTGGGAACGGCGCTTGGAAGATGCCCCACTGCAGCGCGACGTGCAGTCCGCCGGCCTTGAAGCTCGAGAACGTCTGGACCTTGTCAGCGTGCACGTGGCCTGCGACCGCCGCATCGTCGTCGGCGCTGCGGTAGAGCGTGACGAGGTCGTCGAGCGAGCCAGCGTCGTGCATGTCGAGCTCGCACCGACACGCTTCGTGCGTCCATGTGGCCGACTTGGGGTACATTTTGCTGCGCGACGGCTCCTGCGCCCACGTGATGAGCTCGTCGATGCCACTTGTCGCGCGCGCGACGAGGGCCGCGCGCTCCGTACTATCAAGCTCGAGGGATTTCATCTCGAAAAGGGCAAATGCAAAGTGAGCAGCAGGTGTAGGTCGCCTCCGACCAACGCATTGGGTTGCTGCGCTTTCGATAGCGCAGCAGCATACGCGACAGGAGGCTGCACGCGCCTATGATTCGCACCGTACCTACCCTCAACATTTGGGAAGCTTCGAGAGGGTGTCGCGCCATGTCCAAGTGCGCGCACTTGAAGTTCAAGAGAAAGGCGCGCTTGTGATTGGCCAAACACTGTCACGGCAAGTCGTTGCATGGTGCCACACCACTCGGCGCATCCCAAGTGCGCGACCTTGAAGGATGCGTGGCACAGTTCGTGATCTTGTGTTCATCAACACGCACGCGCGCACCAAGTTCGTCATCGCGCGCCAACACCGTTTTTAAAAATTGACATGTCGCCCTAATGTTTACCACCGCTGGCGCGTGATGGCGATATCGTCGCCCATGTCTGAAAATTGCGCATCACAACTTGCCGCCGCATCGATCCTTTCTGCCGCAACCTCACAAATGCAGCGCCATGCTAGCGTCGGCGACAGATATATACTATAGTACATGGGCACATCTCCGCTTCGCGAGCCTTCGCCTGGTCGGATCTGCGTCGAGAGATATTGACCGCTACACGCACCTTGACGGCGCCAGATGGAGTCGCCGAAGAACGTCGGCCGAAATCTGCGCCTGTAGGCGAACCAAGCTGAAGCCGTCGGCGAGCTTGCGACTGCCGCTCGATGCGTGGTCAATGCTCTCGTGGCGTCGTCAAGCGACAAAACACGACCACCGGTACTACACTGTGCCGCTGCCACGTCATCAAACCTGCCATTTCGAATACGTATCAAATGAGAGGGGAGCGTTTCGGGTGGCAGATCGTTCACCCGACACGACGACAATGGCGGCCTACGACCTCGTGGCCGACGCTCAGGTAGGAACCGCTGGCGCGCCTTGTCTCATGGGTGGTAGCCATCGGTACCTCGGCGCAGCGTTGGATGGGCGCTCGTGGCGCTGGCGGTCGCGGCGAACCTGCTCTTTGGCGGCTTTATCTACGGCTGGGCCTCCATCTTGCTTTTCCTCCAAGGCGAGCGCCAGTATGCGTCGCTCTGCGCGACCGATAGCGCCATCGACAGCGTCACGCACACGTGTGTCGCCCAAGACAACCGCCTCAACGTGATCTTTGGTGTCGCGCAGGTGACGTTCACGATCAGCTCGCTCCCGATCGGCATGCTGCTCGACCGCTTCGGGCCCACGATTCTGGCGGCGTGCGGCGGCGTGGCCTCGACGCTCGGCCTGCTCCTCTTTGCCATCAGCGATGCGTCCGGCTTTGACGCGTTCCTACCCGCGTACGTACTCACGGCCCTCGGCGGCATGGCGACGCTCCTCGTCGGCTTCCAAACAGGCTTTGTGCTGCCCGGCTGGCAGACGGCGATCCTCGCAAGCATCAACTGCGCTTTTGACGCCAGCGCCGTCCTTCCGACCGTGCTCTACGCGATCTACGACGCATCCGGCGCGTCCCGTCGAACGCTCCTTATCATTTACGCCTGCCTCGCCGCGGCGACCTACAGCCTCTGGACGTTCTTGTGGTGGACGCATCATCGATCGGTGTTGATGGCTGTCGCGGAAGAGCAGGACGCCGACGACGTGGACGACGACGAGACTGTGCAGGTCGAGCCCGAGGTACATATCTCGTCGTCCATCGGCGTGTCTGCAGCTCGATGCTAGGCGGCGTCCCTTGTCGCTGCGCCGCTCGCGTTCCAGCTGCGGACGTTCGAGTTTCGGTACCTTCTGCTCTTTACAAGCGTTCATAGCTTCCACAACGCCTTCTACTTTGGCAGCATCAACCGCACCTTGGCGGTATCTCGGCATCGATCGCACACTACTTCATGCTCCTGTGTAGAAGTACGACGACGTGACGCGCGTGTACACCAAAGTGTTTGGCTGGGTCCTTCCCGTCGGCTTCATCTACATTCCGCTCATCAACGTCGTCATCGAGCGCCATGGCCTCGGCGTCTCGATGCTGATGACGACGATTCTGTGCATGATGACCTACGGGATCGCCTTCGCGCCGTCGCTGCCGCCGCAGGTCGTGGCGTTCGTCCTCTTCACGGGATTCCGCGGGTTCTTCTACGCCAGCAACTCGGCGTTTGCCGCCCACATCTTTGGCCCTGCGCACATGGGCACGATTATCGGGATCACGTACGCCATCAGCGGCCTCGTGGCGCTGCTGGAAGTGCCCGCCGCGTCGCTCGCCACCTCGAGTGACGATGGCTGGTACGCCATGTACGGTACCGCGCTCGGTCTCTGCGTTTTCCTCTTGCCGTGCACCGAGGTCTACCGCCGCCACGCCACCGCGACGCAGCGATAGAGCGAACCAAGATATCTTTAAAACACTCAAAGACATGAGTCATCTTTTGAACGCAACAGAATCGAACCCTCGCCCTACCCTACCCCTTCCCAGCGGGGTGTGTGGTCTTAACGGCCACGGAGAGTGCTGGAGCGCGTCGCTGGCGTCCTGACAACGGACGTACCGGTAAGCTATTACACCGTGCTGGATCCAATGGTAAAGTATAAATGTTTCAAGTACAAAAGTCGGATGCAAGTTTTAAGTTATCTAATTCGGCGAAGTATTCACAGCGCTGGCAGCGGCATTGAGGCCGTTGCAAGGCCCTTCACGCACAAGCGCTGCAGGTGCGGGAGGCGCGCGATGGTCTCGGAGAGCACCGTCTCGAGCGCACATTTCTGTTGCGAACGCCAGAAGACGGTGCGTAGTACGGCGTCGAGCATGGTCGATAGAACGCGCGGCAACCCGACGCTGGCGGCGCACGGCCGTCGAAAGCCCAGCGCAAGATCGCTCAGTTGCGAGTCGCCGATCGTGGCGGCCAGATGTGGAAGCAGCTCGTGCGTGCAGCCGTCAAGTGCCAGCGCCGAGACGTGATGGCCGAGTCGGTGTCGAGACTGCAGGAAGGACGCGGTCACGTTGCCGCCACGCAGTGCAATGGACTGCAAGGACGGTGCGAGGAGCATGCTGTCGCAGAGAAGACGCGCCTCAGGGCTCTGCTGCGGCAAGAAGAGACCCGTGAGCGCGATCCTGGAGACGGACGCAGCGTCGAGCCAAGCTGCAAATACCTTGCTCATGGACATGTCCCACGTGAACCAAGTCTCGAAGGTCAGTGAGACGTCTGTCAGCGATGACGCGGCAATGGCCTTGAGGAGAGCCGCGGGCGCCTCGGAGACTTCGTCCGTAGCGTCGAGCGCCCAGTGCAGACGCAGCGAGGTCACTCGAGGCAGCGTCGTGAGCTGCGTGCACCAAGCCTGCACCGCGTCGCCTGTCCAGCGCATCGGCTCATTGTCGTTCTCGAAGCGGATGGTCAGGGACGTGATGTGATCTCGCCATTGCGTCATCGCCACCGAGTAAGCTGCCGGGGAGGGTAGCGCCAGCAGTTGCACACCTGTCGACGGCGGCAGCGAGAGCGAGAGGATCGAGGGCGACGGCGCGGCCACTGCCACGGCCGGAAGGACGCGAAGGCTCGACTCGATCAATGTGGCCACGTGTGGCCTCACGTCGTGTGGCAAAGCCAGCGTCGGCCAGAGCGAAGCAGGCTCGACGTGTGTCGCGAGCTCGCGCAGGCTCTGGAGCGGCGGCGTCAGGAGCTCCGTTGGCAGCGCCGACAGCAGCGCAAGCAGGTCGACAGCGCTGGGCACGTGTGCGGCAATGAGCTCGAGCAGCTCGGCGCTGAGGCGAGATGTATCGGTCGGCATCGATCTTGGCAAGTGGCGAATTCTTGCCCACATGCTTCAAGTCCCACTCCGAGACAACGCAACTTGTTCTCTGCGACGAGCTTCGCGATACAAGTAGCCGTCTGCCCAATACATCGTCAAGCTACTAGACCTCGCACCTTGGGCCTGGCACCTGGTGGCCTTCGTCGGGTGCGAGCTCGTACCCGCAGCGTGCCAAGGCGGCGCCTCGATCCTGCACACAACCCCGTGCAGCGCTTACCAAGTTGTTTCCGGATACCAGATTTTCCGGATGCTGCAACTTCAACACGGACAGGCAAACTTGGTGCTGAACCGGAGGCCGCTCCAGTGCAAGGCGTCAGCGCCAAGAGCCAATGATCTGGATGAAGTAACAACGGCGCAGAGCTTCGACGACCTTCTTTTCATCGACGATATTCTTTACGGCAGCAGCAAGAAGGCTTCGGAGGTGGTCCAGTTCCTGCACAAGCCAACACAGATATAATCTGGACAACTGATTGACTATAAATCGCGCCATGGGCTGTAAAGTGCGAAATGGAATTCCATTTAAGTGCGGTCCAGCGCCTGGGCGTATTTTTAAAAAAAACATTCCACTTATCTAAGTACGCCTGCCGCACTTGACTGAGCTTTAATCAACGATTCGATTAGGTGCGATTGCCAACGCACCTCATGTCCATGAGTACTATGTCCATGTATGAGGGACCGCTGCAGCATGAAAAACCACCACGAATCGTGGCACGAGCCAAAAGCAGTTTACGCCGACCACCAAGATCAGTGAGACATCATCCAAGTGACTGAGCGACAGCAGCTCGCGTTCCTCCTTCGAAAGACTGCGCCGGCCAAGTCGCCGGCCAACAGCGCAACCGATTACACGGGTTTCAAGCGCAAGCCGTCGCCGGTGCATAATGACGCCGAGATTATGACAGTACGAAACAGTCGCACGGTGGTAATCCAATGTCAACCTCCTGAGCTTCCTAATCGAGGCTAGCAAATACGAGGTGCAGTGGCAAAGTGCCAATGTAGCAGACAGGGCTCGCCGCGAGAGCAATCATAGACCAGTGACAGTACCAAGGTTGATCCCATTGGACCAAACGTCGGCGGTGGTACCACCATGTTTACCCATTCCATCCGTGTCGCATGGCGGGCGTGAGCACATTGCCGCAAGCGTGACGCAGCGCTCTTGATCGCGTAGGTCATAGTTCTGCTCTGGGGAGCAATCGCGCTGCGTGCCATCGCAGTGAGGCGCTGGCGGGGATTGCTCAAGGCTGCAATGCGCGTCACGCATCAAGCACGCGCGATCTCTCGCACTGGAGCCAGTCATCATACCTGCCATGGGTGGCGGCCACTCTTGAGAGCACCAAGTGACACACTCGTCACTTTCCCGCTTTGCGCACGATGACCGACGTTATCCCAGCGGTGCGAAAGCACCAAGCATCTCCGAGGCTCACGCTGTGTGGCTAGCGCTTTGCCTCGTGGATGCTCGTGCTCACGGTGCTTGCGTCCAACCTCCTCTTCGCCGGCTTCATCTACGGCTGGGCCTCGATGCTGCTCCTTCTGCAGGACGAGAACCAGTACGCCGAGCGCTGCACGCCCGAGACGATCAACCCATCGACCGGCCGCTGCGCCGACCAAGACGCCAAACTCAGCCTCATTTACGGTGTCGCCCAGTTTACCCTCACGTTTAGCTCGCTCCCATCAGGCATTGCGCTCGACAAGGTCGGTCCCATGTGGATGAGCCTCGTCGCCGGCGTGCTCTCGACGACCGGCTTTGTCTTGATGGCGCTCAGCGACTCGAAGCATTTGGATGCGTTTGTCTATGGCTACGGTCTCATTGCGATCGCCGGCAGCGCAACGCTGCTCACGTCGCTTCGCGCCGGCTTTGTCATTCTCCGGTGGCAAACTGCGATCTTTGCCGGCATC